TGCTGTAAATTAAAAGATCTGAAAGTAACATTCATATTCCTTAAGCAAATGGTGCATTCTGGGATCCTAAATTATAAATGCAATTATACTTCTGTAGAAAGTCCAGTTAAAGGAATCTGCCGGGGACAGAAGTTCACCCTTACAAGCAGTATAACATCAGACAATGCAATTGCTCCTGACTAAAAAAATAGCAGAGAAGAGGGCTTCAGAATGAATGGAGATTAGTTATTTTAATCACACTAGAGTTTTTTTCAAATTTGCTTTTATGATGGAATAAAATATGAGACAATGCAGTTGTATGAAAATGAGTTTCCGTGAGCTGTACAGAGAAAGAGATAAACAAGATAAACCTGACATGTTCTTGGATATTTAAATGTATACACAGAACTACTGCTATTTCCTAAGGGGGGGCAGGGGCAGGCAGAGAGGGATAGAGAGAGAAGTTAAAGTGAAAATGTCCTACCAATTTCCTTGTGCCCAAATAAGGGCATGAAGAAAAGTCATTTTTCTAGCCAGCCTTTCTCATACTACTTAAGGAGTAACACCTTTCTCTCTTCCACAGTCTGTTGCTGTGGTACTCTATGTGGTGTGGGATTAGGCCTTCTTCAAGATGTTCTTTGTTCTTCCCATTTTACCTAATGCAACAAGGCAGGGGGTTGTCGGGATTTTGCCAGGCAACAGTAGAACTATTTTTTACCCTAAATCTGCAAATGCCTCCTTCTCTGTATGTCGTCACACAAGTCCCTTAGCAAAAATTTTATATTGTTTTGCTTTGCTTTAGCTGACTGAAAGGTATCCTTAGCACCTAAAATCCTCATCCAAAGGTCACCTCTCCTAATTTAGGCATCTAAATTTGTTCTGTAATTAATGCACCCCCACCAATCATATCTCACCTACTATACATTTGTCTCAGGATCCTCCTCCTCAGCATATTTCATCTACTTGTAAGACAAATGAGTAAAATGAGTGGACTATGGAGTAAAAGAAGATGACTGGGACAGACTAGATGTATGACTTTTAGACAACTAAAATAAAAAAAAGATCAAGCCTGTGCTTTGTTTGGTCTTCTTCTGTGTAAGACTTCACACATGATTATCCATATGAGGTATTTTAGATCTTAAATTGAAAGATCTTTTTCAGCCCACAATTCATAGGTGATGGCAGCAGATATGGAACTTTGCACTTTTCAGCAAGGATTCCTTGCAGTCTACTTCAGTCATTTATTCTAAATTAGAGGTAGATTTGCTCTGGGCTTGCTCCATAGCCAGTAAAGAAGAAAGGCAAGTATCTTCAGAGAAGTGTCTCTGGGTGTGCCTCCCTTTCTCCATGGACAACAGAGGAAGCCTCAAGCTGCTACAGTCCCATCTTGGGTACTTGTTAAATGATGGGATAAATCCATGTATGTCAGCTGCGATGCATTGCAATAAATTTGAAATCCACTTTAAATTCTTGCAAGTATAATATAAATCATATGTCAAATTACATGTAGTGCCAGTGATGTGTTTGTGTGGTGGTATACATACACATGTACGCATGCACAGTTTCTGTACACTTACCTTATAACAAATTAAAGCAGCCTGGTAACATAGCCTGCGAAATAATGAAGCCGATTTTCAGAAAGGTGTGGAAGAATGTCACATGCGGATCTCAGGATAAATTATTTTTAAGAAGTGAGCTTTATCCCATTGTACAAAGTGGAATAATACTTCCAAAGCAAATGCAATATTGCGTTTGTTTTGGTTGAGTATGATTATATGGTGAGACCATTTTGACCTGATAGAATAATAATAAGAAGAAAGCCCAGTGGTAATAAGAGAAACTTTACTACTGACCTCTGTAAAGACGTATTGCCAAGACTCATATTGTCAGTGACATCCAGGATCAACAATGCTTGCAAGCAGTGGACTCAAAATGAAGTTGTCTGGTTTTGGCAACAAAATATTCTGCATTTAGCAAAGGCATATGTTTCAAACTCAAATGACTTCACTTCAAATTAAAGCAAAAAAAATGTTTTGAAGTGTAGTCATTTGATAATCATTTGCTTTAAAATAAGCAACATATTTCTATCTAATGGGATCCACATCTTTAACAAGTGAATCAACAGTGTGACAAACAAAAAACAACCTGCTCTTAAATATAATTCCAAAATAAATTACATCTAGCTCTTTTTTTGTTGTTGTTGTGCTCTGTTTTCCTTTTTTGGCCGCCTGTAGAACTCCCACAATTTTTTCATTGCTACAATGACAAATGCTATGAGAAAAGACCTGGTCCACTGCCAGAAATCTACTCTAGACTTCAGTATATGTTTCTGCTTTCAAGAGTCAATTGTTTTCCTTCTCTCCCAGGGGCCACTAGCTACCTTATTACCAGAAAGAATGACCCCTTGACAGCGCAATTGAGATCCAGAAACTCAACAAAATTGTAACCCCTCCAGTGGCATCAGAATTCTAATCAACAGCAGAGGGTCTGGAAGACAAATGTACTTGTATATAAGGCCACCATATTAGAAAGTGCCTTCTCTACTTGCAAAGAAACCTATTTCTATTTTGTTTCTTTTGATATTTTTATTACCCCCTTTCTTGTAACCTTTTCATTGCTAGTGTTCTTAAGGCAGAAGGGTTTTCACAGCATGGGAATTATCTGTGCTCAGTTTACACAGTTTGCTGCCTATTCCTTCCCTTGCAATCTATTTTGTGAAGCATACAACTAGACATGGGACTCCCCTAGTCATTACCGATTTTTTCTCTTACTCAGCTTAACTCACCAGCAGAACAATTGTGCCATCAGGATCTTTATTGCCATGTGAGAAACACGAGTACAGAATCTCAAGTCTTGAAACTGTAGTGAAGAATGAGCTCAGTATATTAAGGTGAACTTTACAGAGAATACACCATGCACTTGCAAAGGCATGTACTGAAATAGTGTCATACAATAATATTTCTCAAGTATAATTATTGCTAAAAGTGTCCAACTTATTTTCTGTCCCAGAGGCTTGAGGTTATCAAAATCTGTGCCTCGAAAATTGCTTAAATGTTTTTTTGAAAATGTTAGCAACCTTTAAGAAAATCTCAGTATGAGCTAGAAAGTTTTAAAAGTGTCTTTTCCTTATGATTTTATTACCAGCATTACCTGATGTGCATTAGAAGAATTTTTTTTTCTAGGAACATCCAACCCAATGGTGGAAAACAAGGTGCCCATGAACCAAAACTTTGCTCCCGGAGATTCTGCCATCTGACTACCATTATGCAGAAATTGGGAAATGCTTCAGATGATGGTAGGAGAAAGATTCTCAAGATATAGAAGGAGAAAAATATCTAAAAACCAGTTGAAAGCAGCCAGCACGGCAGAACACAAGCACACAAAACCCCACTGCCTTTAACAGAGATTTGGGCGAACACAGGAATTTGCAGACAGGAGTCTTCAAACAGCATCATGGCCTGAGGTGAAAAAAGCACAGCCACAGTGTTCTGCTGAGCACACATTGGAAAGAAGGACATGAGAAGGACAAGAAATCATGAGGTCAGAAAAAAAGAAACATTTTTGTCACCATTCTCAGACAAAAGTCATCACATTTTACAAATAACAAAATAAAAGGTGTTAGACCCCTATGTGATCCCTGGAAGGAGCAGCAGATGGCCAGACCCGCAGCTGGGTCTATTTGTGCATTGCACAAATAGCAATAACGTGATTTTTCCTGCACTGTCCTACCAACGAGATGTCACAGTATAAGGCAGAGAAAGTGCCGAGCGCTCGCCCGGCTTCCCCTGCTGAGGCTGAGCAGTTCTGCTCCAGACAGGCGAGAGGGAGGAGGCAGTGAACAGGGCTCTCCTGCCCTAGAAACCAGGCTGCGGGCTCTGGCAAGGGCAGCTGAAGCCTTGTCTTGTTTTTTAGGTCACTGCTTTACAGTAAGCCCTGTGTGACTGAGCTCTTCCCTTGGCATCAGTCAGACCGTGGGGAGAGCTGCTTTGCACGTGTGTTTTGCCCCCGCAAATTTGATCTCAGGTTCAAGGGTTAATTAATAATCAAAAAGGGAAAATTGACAAGGGCATCCTTTGTTGCTTGTATCCAAAAATGTACAGTCTCTTATTGTCTTACATGTTAGGTCACATCTTTTTAATTTCTATCCAAAAGCCCAGAAGGAAGTTACACGGATTGCTTACATGTATAAGTACCAGGCATTAAAAATAACATGCTGAAATAATGCTGTCAAAGTACGAGACCTACCTGACTGATGGAATATTCTGCTAAAAAGAGCGGCTCAGAGCTTCCCTGAAACAGAATGAAGGAAAATCTAAAGATAATAATGAACAAGAAAGTAGCTTCTTCTGCCAGACCCATCAAGTTAAATGGCTCTTTGTATTGTTCAAAGCGTGTACACTATTGTGTTCTGTGGCAGAGGGTAAAGAGAGGGAACTTATAGTTACGTTTTGATGAGACAACAAATAAAAATAATATTTTGACTGAGAACTCATCCTATTAAAAAAAAAAAAAAAGCAGCATTTCTCCAGCTCAAACAGAAATCCCCTTAATGTGAAGAATATTGAGGTTGTATGTAGAGCCTTCCAGTAATACTTAAAGGAAATGTGCCATTCGCAACAGAACATGCAGCATGACTAAAGACCCTAAGTGCCTGGCATCATTTGAGCTTAGTTTTAAATACCTATGATAGACATTTTTGGAATATGTTTCCTGAAAGTAGTGTCAAGGATTTACTTCAGCATTAGCTCACGCGTGCTGATAGGTTGAACTGGTGCTCATCTACCTAATAAATACAAAAAGGATTAGTTTCTGTGTACGTACAAAGTTGGGGGTTTTATTTTTTTATGTCAGTATTGGGATTTATTTGCCCTCCTGATGAAACGTTTACCTCACTCTGCCTCATCAATATTAACCTCACAGATCAACAGATCTTCATATCGACAGAATAGAGAAGTCAATATCTCCTTATTATTATTTAATAAGAATTTCATTGTCAGTAACTGAGTGAGAACAAACATCTGTGCAGTATAATGGCATGCACTTTAATTTTTCAAGGTTACCATCTTGCATATGTTTGACAGAAGAAAGCTAACCCATAGTAAAAATCCCCCAGTAATATCAGCGTATAAAATGACAACATGTTGAAGGACATTTAAATTGAACAAAACAGGGTGTTTTTTTAGTCCCAGTTTTGATATACAAATGTTGGATGTGTTTTACTGTGGCTTCTGACTATGATTGATAGGAGATGCATCAATTTCAAGGTTTGTGAATTTAAGTAAATTGTTGTCAGTGGTATCACTTCTTCTTTTTTGTATTTTTTTTTCAAATTATCTCCTTACAGAGAATAGTGTATTACAAATTGAGACAGGATATACATAAAGCATCAATTTAGCTTGAATATCCACTTACAATAGTAAAAAGAAAATAGTTGTGATAAGAATGTGAGTACATCAGAGTTGTTCAGAAAACTCCAGAGTATTTAAAAAAAAAAAACAACAAACCCACAATGCTTATGTTTTTTCTTCTAAATAATCTTTGCTGTTTCTGTTTGGAAAATACTTCGCTTGCCTTTCCGTCCAAAGGAAAAATATAACATTCATTTAAAAACAAAAAGAAATGAAATAGTAGTGGTATATCTTAGAGACTTCTTTTATCTTTGACCCCAGAATAAGATTCCATTACACTATACATTAGCCAAAAAAAGCCCCAAACCTGTATCCACTCTTTGTAACCTGTGGGGAGTTTATTAACCCTTCATTGCTTAGTGGTAATGTTTTATTTGACTGAAAAGCCCAAAGAGCTTCCTTAAAAACTGACGGTGATTAAACATTGTGCAGCAAAGCTTGCTATAGTTCCAGTACTTTCCGAAATTAGCTATATCTGATTTTAAACTAATTTTCCCTAGACTTCTTCTTATCTGATGACGTCTGACTTAGGATCTGGTGAAATGCACAGATATTTTTTATTATGTTTTCCAACACACGGTCATGACTTGTTTCCATGTATAAGTGTGTTGTGTCTATGTATCTACATGCCTGTCTATATGCATAAAGCAATGTATATGCTATTTGTGTGTGGTTTTGGTTTTAACATCAGGTTCTATAAATGAATAAAGATACTATCTTCATTTTACTGTTCTCTAAAAGGGGCAACATGGAATGGATTCTGTAAATCTAACTATACATGTTGCTGATTAAAAGCTGATGGTAACAGTTAATATACAAGGGGACAGACTAGTTTTTCTTCTAACATTTTTTCGAGGGAAAAAAATGAAAATTAGACAGAAAAGAGCATTTCCAGATGTGACTGTATAGAGCTTGATTTGAAGCACTTTTGTTATCTCCTTAATAATGCATGTAAGAATGCTCATGTGAAATGTTATGTTAAAACTCAGTCCTAGTAGATATTTGTGCTTATGAATTGATTCCTTATCCATATTTTATGGAGAAATAGCTCGGCACTGGATTACAGCACATTATTTTCCAAACTCCTTATTAGACTCTGCATATCTCTCTACTGTGCCTCCAGGCTTAAATTAAAAACCAAACTTAAGTAAAATTTAAAGAGACAACATTCAGAAACTTATTTCTTTTACAAAGCTTCTGAAAGTTCATAATGATTTTTGTCCCTAATAGGCCTGCCTTTGAAATAATTTGATGGCTAGGTTTGTAAATCCGCTTGGAAAGATCTGGCGTCCCATAACCATTAAGGGGAGTATATATCACAAAAATGATTTTGCATATAAATAATGGTATACAGGATTTGGCTTAAATTGTCTGCTTTCATTTGATATTTTTTTTTCTCTACAGTAATTTGGGGAGAGGCAGGAAGATCAAATTGAACACAATTTGGAAATGAAACTTGGATAATTGAGCTAAGTACGTTGAACTTGCCAGTCACCTGTGACCTCCTCCTACTTACACATCGTTTCAGATAGCTGGAAGGAGAGGGCCTGTGTGGAGTTGCACAACGTAAATACGGCAAGCGGAGTTTCGCTCTGGGACCACGTTATCCCTTGTAATCTGCTGGCTTTGTTTTTATTTAAGATGGAGGGACCCAAGCACAGCGCACCACTGCCTTGAGAAGGTGCTTGGCCAACCGGTGGGTTCAGGGGGCTTGGTGGCAGAGCAGGACGAGCACTCCGGGAGGACCACCACCGTGTGGGACGTTGAGGGGACACAACAGCACCGGACCTGTAATAAATGACACGTTGAAGCTTCACGAGTAAAGTTGAGCTCAGCCGTGGCAGGATCCCCTTTGTGGCCTGCTGCAACCCAAAGTTTGCGGTCGTCGTCCCTGTGCGTGAACCTAATATTTTGCTGTTCATTTGGAAGCGATTATTCAAAACACCTTGGCAGCTGAACCCTCCGTGCTTTCAGGATAATTATTTCTAATCGTGATTGGCAATAATAGTAATTGCCATATTCAGCCAGCGCCCAGCTGTAACGATTTTTCTTTATTATTATTATTTGGGTTAACAATCGCCACCGACAACAATGTCCCCCGACCCTCCTCTCCCCCCCCAGACACGCAGGGAAATAAGAATCACTGCTCTGCAGCAGCCGCAGGGTGGGCCGCTGCCCCCCCCGTGTCCCCCGTCCCCTCTCCATGGGCTCGGCGGGGTTGGGGGGTGAGAAGAGGGGGCTGTCGGGCGGGAGGGGGCCGGACCCCTGCCGGGGGGCTAGTGTTGAGAGGACCGGGGCGAGCGGGGCTGCTGCAGCCCCCTCCCAGCCCCCAGCCCACCCCCGGCGGAGCAGGGGCTGGAGCCGCGGCCGTAACGAGGCTCTTAATAAACCTCCGGGTCGATGATGCATCGCTCGCCAGTGAATCTTCGCGGGTTTATTTATTTTAACTAAATCGCCCAAATGGATCGCAGCTCCGTGTTGACTCTGGCGGGAGGCGAGGCGGGCGGCCGGGGGCCGGGGGG